GATACAAGTATAACATTGACCTAATTCCTGATAGGTCTGATTTACAAAGCTTAAGCAAGAGGGGCGATGAGTCCTTCAAAACCTATGCACAAAGATGGAGAGAATTGGCTGCGCAAATAGAGCCTTCATTATCTGACAAAGAGATGGTGACAATGTTCATTGACTCTCTAAGTGGACCCTATTATGACAAGATGATAGGGAACACGTCAACCCTTTTTGCCGACATAGTCACCATAGGTGAAAGGGTTGAGCAAGGCTTAAAAAGCGGGAAGATAGGGAAGGCTCCGACAAGTTATGACCCCAGGAAAGTCTATGAAAAGAAGAGGGAAGAAGGGATCCACGCTGTCATCTCTACTCCAAAAAGTCAAGCCACACCACAGTCAAAGCCTAGAGATGACAAAGTAGTAGACAAAATCCCCATCACATACACAGAGCTACTACCTCAACTCCTAGAGGCTTCGATGTTAGTCCGACTTCCTCCAACAAAGAAGATGAACCCTCCTTACCCGCCGTGGTACAAACCTGAGGAAAGGTGTGACTATCACTCTAACACTCCGGGGCACTCAGTGGAACGGTGCAAGACCCTACAATTCCGTGTGCAAGGACTTATAGACGCTGGATGGTTGAAATTTGACACCGACACACCTAGCATCGACAAGCACCCACTGCACAAGCATGACGAGGAATGACTTTGGAGTATAAAATTGAGAAATTACTAGAGTAGGGGGCTTTCTTTCTTTTTCAAAAAAAAAATTGCTTTAAATTCAACTCATGTCATTCACTCAAGGTCATGAGTTCAAACAAAATAAGGGTTTGTATAAGTTTTTACATTCATCAATAATATGCGTCATTTTCATAAATCTCTTGTGTTTATTCTTTTCCCCCTCTTCCCACGTATTAAATTCTAAAATCAATCACAATATAAAAAAACAAACATGACCGAAGATAATAAAATTAATCAAAGCTTCGAACATCTACAACGCATTATCTGAGTCTAAGGTAGATAGGAAGATCATCTCTTCGAAACACAAAAAAAAATAAGAAAGTGATCAGAAGAGTCTTACACAAGATTCTCATTGCACAAGAAGAGTCTTGCAAAAATAACTTTCGCTCAATTTGGCCGACAAAGGAAGCATAAATCTCGGTTCATGAAAGAACTCTCTCAACACTCGTAGGTTGGGGCAACATCTTTCTCCTTGGTATACGGGAACGGGGGGCAGTGTTAATCAGCAAAGACGCTGGTCCTCCCAGACACGGATGATAGGAAATTTTTTCAAAGAAGTGTTATTCCAAAAAAATAATATCACTTGCAAAATACTACTAGGATGAAAACCCGCAAAGGGCATCTTAGGAAAAAAAAAACAAAAAAACAAAATCAAAAAAAGGTTCCCGCTAGGACACGTCCTAGGCAAAAATTAGGAATCTAAAAATGATAAAAATAGCAAGTGATGATTCTCATAGTTGAACGCTAAAAGGCGGTTTGAATACTTCTACAAGGGACCAAATTCTACGAAGACTCTGCCTGAGATTCAGATATGTAGTTCAAGATAATTAGGAGAATGATTATAATAATTATCCAAGGAAATGTTTTAAATCATCCTACCCCCACTACTCATTCACTCTAAATCATCCTACCTCCATTAACCATTCATTCTAAATCATCTTTTTCCTTTCCTTTCTGTCTTGTCCAATCCTAATGATGTATATTTTTGATGGTTGTCAAAATTTAAACAAGTACAAAAAAAAATGAAGATGACCCGCTAGGATGAAAACCCGTAAAGGGCGTTCTAGGCAAAAATTAGGGCAAATGAAAAGAGCAAAAAAATACCCGCTAGGATACATCCTAGGCAAAAATTAGGGTTTCTAAGCAAAAAAAAAAAAATTAGTCCCAAGACGGTTCAATACATCAAACGGCCAATACAACTAAATGTCGCGCATCAAGCAAAGTAATTTATTCGTGAGAAGGAGAAAAGGAAAGCCACCTTCTAAAAAAAAAGTTAAAACCAACATGCATTGCATACATCCAAAAGCATTTCACACACTTAGAGAACTTTCTCTATCCAAGGGGGATTATTCAAATAAATAAATAAATAAAATCTTGCATGAATAAGCATCTAGCATTTTTTTTATTTTCTTGCATCCCAACAAAAGAGCAAAACAAAGACATGAGAAAAAAGGCAAGCTTCAAACATGAAAGAGCCAAAGCTAAACAAAAATGAAATCCAGAAAAACCCACCACAAACAGACGCCTGGAGAGGCATCACAATACTCACATGGCAGGGGCAACACCAGAATTTCTGTCAATCATCTACTCCTCTGCCCACCAACACAAGAGCACCACTTACCAACAATCCTCGTCAAGGGGCAATCACATCATCAGCCCCAGCAGACAGCCTGTGGAGGCTATGAAAATACTATGGCCTATAGGGGCTATGAAAATAATATGGCTTATAGAGGCTATGAAAATACTACGGCCTGTAGAGGCTATGAAAATACCACGGCTTGGAGAGGCTACGAAAATCCCACGGCCTGGAGAGGCTACGAAAATACTACGGCCTGTAGAGGGTACGAAAATACTACAGCCTGTAGAGGTTACGAAAATACTATGGCCTGGAGAGGCTACGAAAATACTGTGGCCTGGAGAGACTACGAAAATACCACGGCCTGGAGAGGCTATGAAAATACTACGGCCTGGAGAGGCTATGAAAATACTCCATCTTAAACAAGCTACAAATAAAGGAACACATTATCACAAGGGAAACAACGCAGAAGCACCGAAGAGACAAAGAGAAGACCCGGACGAAATGTCTACGTCTTTTCTTGCCTTTGGAAAAGCAACACATTACTATTCCAAAGGACAAGTAAAGAGGGGCAGCTGTAGACACCCAATTTCGTCCAGGGGGATACAAACAAGGAAATGGACCTTTGTTATGGAGGGAAGGAGCTTCCGAACCATGCAAACAACAAGACAGGACTTTAGAAGGCCCAAAATCCCAAACAAGTTAAGAATGCCGAAAGCCCGTTTCGGGCCGGTGGCGACAATAGTTTTGCATTGCATTGGAGCAAGGAGCACGGGAGAAAACATATATATCATTTACATCAATTCACTAGTAGAAAATCAGTTTTTTACGTCACTATTTTCTCATCGGTCATAATAAAACCCGACGTAAAAAAAACACGGTGGCAGTATTGTAATATTTGTGAACTTTTTTACGTCGGATATAATAGAGTCCGACGTAAAATATAAAATCTACGTCGGATACACTATGTGTCCGACGTAAATTTTATATTTTACGTCGGACTTTATTATATCCGACGTAAAAAAACTTTCTATATACACACTATCAGGGTCCCCGAGGGAGAAGAGCCACGACGAAGAGGGAGAAGAGCGTGACCCTCTCGAGCTGGTACTTCATGAAGTGCCACGACGAAGTGGAAAGAGAGCAGGGAGATGGCGTGAAGATCTTCACCACTTCACGGAGCAGGGAGATGGCGCCAGGATCATGGCCACGTACAAAGGTACCATAGGATCATTCCCGTTAACCAAATCTCTCCATTTTCTTTTATGAGAAATTCTTTAGATCCAGCTTCCTGGCAGGTACAAAATAACATCTTTAATGGGATGCTGTCAGTGAAGAAAAATAAGTAAACTGTCATACCTGGTTCCAAGGGAAGAGAGCCCCAGTGAAGCAAACCGAGGGCACGAAGTAAGCAAGGTATGGTGGGTGCCAGCTACTTTCACTTGTTAGGAGTAGGGGCTGAAAAGAGCTCTTTGTATAGGTTGGGTTTGCTGGGCTTTGATGCTTGCTGGGTTTCCATCTGCACCCTCTCGTTTCTTCTGGAGAACGGCCTGTTCTGCAAGGAGAACAGCCCGTTCTGCAACCAGAACGGCTCGTTCTTCAAGCAGAACGGGCTGTTCTTCTTGCAGAACGGGTCGTTCTCCTTGTAGAATGGGTCGTTCCAGCGTAATTTTTTTGGGTTTTTGTAACTTTTTTACGTCGGTGTTAATCTCCGACGTAAATTTACGTCGATCTAAACCGCTGACGTAAATTTACGTCTCTTGCCTTTATGTCGGGAGTTTTTCTGACGTAAAAAACTTAAAATAGCCGACGTAAAAAACCTCTTTTGTATTAGTGATTTGACTATGAATTTGGTGTTGAAGCTGTGTGAGATGAAACTTCTTAGTTTGACACCTCTGATTACCACCCTTGTCAGAGTCATATTAGGAAGTGCAGTGGAAGCAATTTTTTCACTAATCAGCCAACATTTGTATTTCTTTTATGTATCACTAGAGAAAAAGGCCAAGTTGTGTGTCGATGATTAATCCCTCTGAGAAAAAAGAATCTTGCAACCACACAAACGGTCAAATTTGTACTGGATTAACATAAAAATATGGAAGAAAATACATAAAAAGAAAAGGGTTATTGTTTATATATACTACAACAAACCTTTTTCTTCTTTAATTTAATCAGTTGACTAAAACTGTTAATCAATTGAAACTTATTTAATAATTTCGCAGAAACTTCTAAAGTTATGAAAACCAATTTAAAAAAAGCAATGATATACAAAATTTGCTCGATTACAAACACTATTTTTCTATCTTACTTTCTTATTACATTTTATCTTTAAATATATTTTTGCCCTTGAAATTTAAGAAAAATTTATTTTTAATTTCTGAAATTTAGAATTAAACTTTTGAATTCTTATAATTTTAAAAATAACTTTTTTAATTTTTATATTCAAAATTTTTCAAAAAATCTATTAAATGCTAGCACATAAAATCTATTTACCAATAAAAATATTACATTAAATTTAACTGATAACTATCTCAATTTACTATTTTCAAATATATTATAAGTGACTAAAATATTAAAAAGTATTTTTGATATTTTTTATAATTAAAAATAATAATTTAAAATTTAAAATTTATCGTAGATTTAAGTGATTAAAATCATGTGTAGCCCAAGATTTTATCACTATCTTCTTACACTTGTGGGGTATCTCTTTATCAGAAGTGTCAAGTAGCAAATGCTTCCGAACACAGATGTTAACAAACAGCTGAATTCCGTGTGTGGCACACTGTTCCTGTTCTTGTTCCATTGTTTCTATGTTGTTAACATGATGAACTCTTTGCTTTCACAACCCTTAACTCAGCCACCACCAATTATTCCCTCTTCCACCAACCGAACAAGCCTCACTCTTCTTCATCCCTCAAACCCAAACAACAACCTCACCCACTTGGCCATGCTTTCCCACGAGCCAACCAGTTCCACCATCTACGCTTCCATTCTCGAGTCTTGTGGGTCCCCCACTTTGGGAAAACAGCTTCAAGCCCACTCCATAAAAGCAGGGTTTCACGGCCACGAGTTTGTCACGACCAAGCTGCTCCAAATGTATGCCAGAAACTGTTCTCTCGAGAACGCACGCCACGTGTTCGACACAATGCCTTTTAGAAACTTGCACTCTTGGACCGCACTCCTGCGTGTTCACGTTGAAATGGGGTTCTTTGAGGAAGCATTTTTACTGTTTGAACAGTTGTTGAATGAAGGGGTGCCAGTGGAATTGGATTTTTTCGTGTTCCCCGTGGTGTTGAAGATTTGTTGTGGGCTTTGTGCTTTGGAGCTGGGTAGGCAAATGCATGGGATGGCGTTGAAACATGGGTTTGTTAAGAATGTTTACGTGGGTAATGCTTTGATAGATATGTATGGTAAATGTGGGAGCTTAGATGAGGCCAAGAAAGTTCTAGAAGGAATGCCCCAGAAGGATTGTGTCTCTTGGAATTCTATGATCACTGCTTGTGTTGCTAATGGGTTGGTGTACGAGGCACTGGGTCTCTTGCAAAATATGTGTGCCGGGAAGTGTGGTTTAGCACCTAATCTTGTTTCTTGGAGTGTGGTGATTGGTGGATTCGCGCAAAACGGTTATGATGTGGAGTCGGTTAAACTGCTTGCGAGAATGGTGGTAGAAGGAGGAATGAGACCGAATGCGCAAACGCTGGCAAGTATTCTTCCAGCTTGTGCCAGGATGCAATGGTTACACGTTGGGAAGGAACTGCATGGCTATGTTGTTAGGCATGAGTTCTTCTCCAATGCTTTTGTTGTGAATGGATTGGTGGATATGTACAGAAGGTGTGGGGATATGAAAACTGCCTTCAAAATGTTTTCCAAGTTTTCAAGGAAATGTGCAGCATCTTACAATGCGATGATCGCTGGTTATTGGGAAAATGGCGATGTCTTTAGGGCCAAGGAGTTGTTTGATCAGATGGAGCAAGAAGGTGTAGAGAGGGATAGAATATCATGGAATTGTATGATATCAGGGTACGTGGACAGTTCCCTGCTTGATAAAGCTTTTAGCCTTTTTAGAGATTTGCTGAAGGAAGGAATCGAACCTGATTCTTTCACTCTTGGAAGTGTCCTTGCTGGCTGTGCTGATATGGCTTCTATTCGACGAGGGATAG